AAGTTATTCCCGTTAATCTGAAATTGAAAAAGCAGGGTAGAGGGTGCTGTGCTTATTTTCCATACTTTACAGTAATATATTTTATGTAAAGAAATTTTCAAAATTTATTTATAAATTAAAGTGTATTTTCATGAATAAAGTATGATGCTTGAATAAAAAGTTAATGATGAATTGACAAGTCTTCAATTCACTTTTTATTAGATGCTAAACTTCCTAGACATAAATATTATTAAAATTTCATCCACAATCTCTTAAAACATGTACTATTACTGATATTAGTTCTGAAACAGTAACATCCACTATAACCTGTTCAACGGAAACACCTACCTTGAACGCTTGCCCCCGATACCGAACAGGTGCCTGACTGTGATAAATGCGAACAAGCAACAGCAGTAACTTGCTCACCTACATGTGTTCCTAACGGAGATCATCTAATTCAGGAGCATGTTACTCCGAATATTCCACCTATTCTAGATTAATGCCTATCATATGTCAGATGTACGGACAGACATCCTTTATTATTAGTTATTATTAATGCATCATTATCAGAACTCAGCATGGATGTTCTATAGAATAGGTGGGCAATATAAAAAATAAGCTTCACTAATGATTAGTAATCATTAATAGAAGCGGAGTTGCGGAGTTTGTGGGATTTGCCCACCTATTCTATAGAACATTCAATGGGTTAATACAAAATGTTACGTAAAAGACTAAAACAACAAATGCACATGTGATCCGTAAAATTATCTAGGCTCGTAATATGACAGGCTTTCTCACAAGAAATGTAGTAATGGAATTCTCTAACGAAAGGATAAGTAGTAATGATCTGATAATAATGAGGTAATTAATTACAAGTGGCTAAAAAAAAAATTGTAATTTGAATATTAACAGACTCTGCTGCGACTATCCCCAAAATCTGCTCAATACATGTGATAACGAAAAATTTTAATTTTTACGAATCAAATAATAACATGCAATTGCTTAAAAAATATACCGAAGCTCTCATCTAAAGCTTATATTTACCCTTGGATTATCAAGCTAAAAAAATAAAAAATTCATTAGCAGAAGGGCAGTTTTATAAAGCTTTTTTTCTCTCTGAATCTGACCTTGAGATTTGACTGACCAGCAAAATTTTTTTTATCATCTATTTTTTATTCTTTATTGCATGTAATTGCATTTGAAATAAGTTAATTTATGCGCAGATTATGCCATCTACCGCATCTACGCATTTACACTATCTGCTCACTCTAAAAATATTTTTGCCTATTGTCTCCGCAAGATAAACGTGACTTTAATCATTCTTTAAATGTAAAAAAGTAGCATGAGATTTATGCACCGCAGAATTCTGGACACACTAGTTGACCCTCATAGGAGGACTTTCATATGATTGGCTGATGTAAATCAATTGCCCGGGTAACTTATTTATACACTTTAAAGT